CAGATGTGACATTGGAGTGAATCAGGTCCTAAAATAGCATTGATGACTTAGCAGGTAGTCAGATTAAATCACATCATTAGAAGACCCCATTCTTTTCCTTTACCTAAAGACCACAATTCTGAAAGTATTTATGTATTTAATAGTTTTATGCACTTTATTCTTACTCTAACCACATTTACATTAAGTACCCCAGATGTCTGGGGCACATATGCATGCCAATTTGACCCACATTTGCCAAAGAAAAGCATTAATATGCAGTCAGGCAATATTACTGACTGATGTATTATGGAGGAAATGTTACATTGCAACACTGTAGTTTTGGAGTTTTCCTTTTAAATGAAAAGTTTAATCTGTTCCAACTATCTGAAGACAATCCTTCCCTAGAATTTTTTTTTTTTTACAAAAGCCTTATTGTTAAGTATTTTATGCAAATTGTTTAGAATGTCTTTCTATTATAAAAATTGTTTCTGATTATCGAGTACTCTCCACCCACACAGTGGAAGAAGTTACCATCTTCAGGCCTGTTTTTGCCTTTACTGCCATTTTATCAAATTAAGTGCTACTATGTTTCAAAATACAGAGTTCACTTGCTGCTACCAGAGGAAAGTCAGGAAATTGAAAGTCTGGACAAGTCATGTTGTTTATAATAAATTTATTGAGAAGTATGCAAATTGAGCCTTGAGATGTTTTTTGCCGTTATTTCTTAACTAGTATTAAAAAACCAATGTGTTGCTGGAAACAATTATATAGAAGAAGTGTTTCTCTGCTAAAGAATAGGCTTTTTAGTTGCAAAAAAGGTTAAGTAGTCTTTTCTGAAACATCAGAGAAAGCATTTCATTGCAGAAAATTAAAGAGAAAAAAAACTTTTAAAACAGAAATATATGTGTAATGGCAAATTATTCTGAGGTTACCACAGCAGCAGATAGTAAACACAATGGAAATAGTTTCTGGAGAAATAATTTCACATTTTTCTCATTACAGTGCTATCTGTATGAATAAATTATCAATCAATATATTAAGCTTTCACACCACTGGAGATGTTTTTTAACAGTAATTTACGTATTTAACATACAGAACAGAACATAATGCTTCTGCTTCTCTATCAGAGATATTAATCACTACTGTAATTAGAGTAGTAAACTAGAGGCTGATTTAAAATGCTTGTCAGAGTATATGACTTGTCAGGAGAAAAATTTTAACTTAGGGTATGACAAAGTTTTTAGTAAGCGGCAAATGACTAGAAGAGATAAAAGCAAATAACTGGGGATTTAATTGCCCTCATTAGAAGACATCTGCTTTAGCCAATGAGCAATACAATCTCCATGCCATTTTGATCTTCCTATTACTAAGAACAATCAGAAATATTTCTTTCATTTTCATTTCCGCAGCAGTAGATTGTCAGTACTTCCCAGATACAAATAGAAACAGTGAAGCATATTTTTAACACTTCACTATTAACTTACTGCATCATGCCTTACCTTAAATTGGCAAAGCCACCTGAAGTCTACCACAAGGCTTGACTTGTGGCTGCCTACCTGCTAAATAAGGCAGATTAATACGCAATGCTATCGTACTATTCCATAGATTAAAGGCCTACTAAAATAGTAAATAGTCTATAAAAGAACAATTCAAAAGAATGCTGCTCTTGGACTGAGAGACTCAAGCTGACAAACACCAGAGATCTGGCAAGCCCAAGTTTTGCCATCTCTGGAGAAATCAGTAAAACATCACCCTCCCATCTCCCATTTGCAACATGGCTAGAGATAAGGTATTTGGAACAATACAGCCCAAGTAATTTTTCACTAAAATAAAACAGCTATTAACTTGAAGCAATTGTATGAATATTTTACTCCTCTTCCTTAATCTATTCTCAAGCACTGTGGTAGCAGACACGTCGCACCACATACAGTGAGACCAGCAACAATATACATGGTGGGATTATTACTAGTATTTTGTTAACATACTTCTCTTCATCTACAAAACGAGTATACAGAAGCTCTGGAAAGGCATCTGACCTTTATTTTTATGGACTCCAGTAAAACAAGAGAATACATTCTATTAAAAGAAAAAATCTGACATTAAACAACCAGGAAAACATTCACTAGTTAACGGAGGGATCCACAATAAACTTGCAGAAAGCAATCTTCCTGGTTTTGTAATATGCAGCATGTACCCAGTAAGACACAGAATTCAGCACATGCCAGCAACACAGTTTCTTGTTCAAAAAACACTTTCAGAAACAGCCAACCTGAATTTCTTGAAATACACATGGTTTGCAACAATTCACATTATCAGTAGCAGAGGTTTGGTGACTGGAGAGAATTAGATTTCCTGTCTGCATGAGCAAGCGAGCCCCCAGAGACTGGTATTTCCCAGGGAAAACCATCGGGCTGAGGCTTGCTGTGCACACATCCCAGCTCAACCCAGCGCAGAGAGCCAGGGCTCTGCCTCACCTATGGACTATGCCGGGGCCTTCCCTTCCTCTCAGCTTTTGTATCAGCTGCTACATGCCTCCCGACCACAGCAGTATTTTCACTGGTATCTTACAGAAGCCAATGGGAACATGAAATAACAGTAACATAAAACTCCCGTGTCAAGACGACTGGTGGTACAATTGAGACTTTTTCTACAATTCCAGTAGTTCAGTGAGGTCTTAAAGCAATACTGCAATCTAACAGTCCATCAAAAATTCCATCATAATTAACATGGTATTTCCTTAAAGCTTGAACACATCTCCAGTTAAGACCACATTTCTTAAACCCGATTTTTGTACCTTTTCAGTAGACACTGTTTAAACTGCTTGGTCTTGCAGCCTGCAGCTAACAGAACTCGTGTCTGTAGCACAACGCTGACTTGCCGAGAACCACTGCAGCAAGGGCAAACAAGTTCTTGATATGTTGTTTTTTTTTTTCTTGAACCAATAAAGAGAAGCTTCAAAATGTTACAATTTACATATTGGTCCAAATAATACAGTTGAATAAAGTGCACAAACAAATTATAAATCATGCTTTTATTTTTTATCTTATTATAAATAATTTCATACGTCATAAAAGTAGATGTAAATGTACTAAATACTTGCTTCTAACCAGCTGCCCAGTGTCAGGAGTTCAGATGTTTTCATACTTTCTGAGAAACAGAAATTTACATTTTATATTTTCAAAGATATGAAAATACTATTGAGGGAAAAAAGCATAAAAACTGTGTCTCCTTACTTTATTTATCCATTTTCTCTGCATGATTTATTTGCTAGCTTTATTGAGAAAAATGACATTCTATGTGAACTTCAGTAAGACTTCAGACATTCATTTCTATGAACGTTAGGGTCCTTCCTGGGTCTTCAAATCACTGGGAAGAAAAATAGTATTTTTCTCCTAGAGAAAAACTGGATTTTATTGCTTCATTAAAAGGTGATGTCAGTATCTTTCCTCAGCAAATGAAGTTTCCTCAACACCCTATTTTCTTCTGCCATCTGTTTTGTACTAAGAAATGGCAAATAAGAGGGATTTATATTCCATTCCTTTTTTCTAAAATCATCTCAATTTTTTTTCCCAGGATCCATCAAAGAAGTAGGAGCAAATTCTGTGGCACATCTAAACAATTCTGTTTTCTGGTTTGAAAGAAAATTTCCAACTCTGGAATATACAGCAGGTGCAGTATTCCATTGGTCGTGATTTTGGGCAGAGAAATACAGTTTCACAGGTAAGTTCAACTTTTCTCCCAACACTAAGGCTAAATTTAGAGCTTGGAAAAGGCCAATGCCTGTGCCAAAAAAGCACACTCTGGTACATGTTGTGCAATTTTAGTCAGCTGACTTCACTTTTAATCTGTTAACTGCAGGTAATTTTACTCCAAAGATCACTGCTCAGGCAAAGTTGAGTTTTGTTCCAAATAGCAGAAAAACATCTATTGTGACTAAATAAGAAATACAACAGACAACAAAACTTATATTTGATGGTGATCTGAGGTAGCATTTTCTCAGTCAATGCTAATTTATTTCTATACTCAAATGAAAGCTGTATTTAGCACTCACCTTTTTAAAAATACGGTCAACAGACTGCTGCAAAATAATTTCAGGCGTTTTTAGCTTAGAGAGTGGTGTTAAAATACCAACGTCTCAATCAAAACCCTGATTTGATAAAATAACTTACACAGGGGCAACAAGAGGCAAATTATAACCAAAGGTGATCATATTGCAAATTAAAAAAAAATACTACTACATTCTCAGGTATCAGACTGAAAACACCAATATCTATAAAATATTTGTGACAATGAATTGCCAACAAGTAAAGCTAAAACAGAACAATAATTCAAATAAAAGTCAGAAGTAGTCATCCACACATTTCACTCTCATGGGTAGCTGCCACCATATGTTGATGTTTATTCAGCATGAAATCATGCAATTTATCAGTAGAATAACTTAGTAGATGAACTGCAAACACCTTCAGTGAGTCTCTGACAAACTATGATGTCACTGTAACAAGTAGAACCACCACCATGAACCATGCAAGCAGAAAGTATGCTTTCTTCCTGAAGTATGTTTGTGCTTGTGATGCAAAGAGAACAAACTCATGGGTTTTTTTTAACTGAGCAGTGGGTAATACAGGTTTTAGGAGCTCAGAGCTGAAAATGACCTGGAAAAGCTAACACCCATTCATTAAAAAAGTACTTAAAAAGTCATTAAGATAAATCATTTGAATACTTATCAAAACTAAAATATATCTAAATTATTAATAATGGGAATGGTTTTCTTCATGGTTTTCCTATCAGGCAGATCTTCATAGACCTGAGTATTTTGTCCTTTATCCTTAAATCCAAATACCACATACATCCTTATATCCAAAATACCTTAAATTCACTCTCAAGTACTATCTGCTACATCATTGTAGCACGTGGTCCTATAATTTAATTATTTTGCTTCTCCACATCACTCTAAAAAACTTTTTGCTTATCATAGTAACAAAACATAGACAACTGAAGACCAAAACCTTCACATACTGTACCTGCAAAGCACAGTTCATCATTCGCACAATGTAGTCAAACTGCTGATGGTCCAGTATCGCTCGATTTTGTTTAACGTGCTGGCCTAATTCCTGTGTCAGGCAGTGCCGAGCTGCCTTTCCTTTTAGGGCTCTCAGAGCTGCGGGCAGGGTCTGGAGACAAGAAAATCTAACTTTATGGAAATGAAATTAAATTGCGCTATTCGTTGAGTATCATTCGTTATTAAGAAACTACAAGCAACAGTAAAGAATAACTTTGGAAATCACTCATTAGCTTGAATATCAAACTTTCACATAATGGTGGATTTAGCTTGAGTTAATAAGTATTGAATTTTTCCCATCTTTTTTTCTAATGCATTAAACAGCGTTTCTCACCTACATCTGTAAAGAGAAGTGACTGAATACAGGCAGGCATTGAACGGATATGAAATCAGAAACCAATTACCATGCATGAAAGCAAGTGCTCTGCTCTGTACCAGCCATGCCAGGTCTTGAGTTAGCATAACAAGGCCAACCAGCATGTCTTCCAATAAGCAGTGAACAGGAAATGGTTTTAGAACTGGCATACCTCTCATAGCAATGAGGCCACAAGACTGTTACGCGATTTACTCTAAACCAGTGTCAATATAATATTTATGCAAATTTTTTAAAGATACAGCAAGTGCTACATCAGTGATTATCAACTGTGGCCCTTCAGACTAGATTTAATGGGTGGTAACAGATAAATAAGAAAAGGCAGCCTACTGTCTAAGGACACATTTACAATGCAGGGGGACAAAAAAACACTGAAATTTTCTAAATGCCTGTAAGTTGACAGAGGTTAAAAACTACTGTTACACATGCATCAAAATTCTTTTTAAAAACTACACATTTTATTAGGACTTTTCCCATACACATTTCCATAACATAACTTGTAAACTAAGAAACAGTCGTTCTACTGAGCTGCACAGCCTCAGATTTATACAGGTGATACTTTTTCGATAAATCAAAAAATCTCTTAAAATAATTTTACAGTCATTTTCATATGTATAATTAGATTTGAGCATAAGTTTGAGTGATTGTTCTAGAATTGATAATTGAAAACTTTATGGACAGAATCTACAAAACCTGGCAAGTTCTTAATATTAAAAAGTAAGAATGTCACGGATGATAACTCACTAGCACATTTTAGTGAAGACAGAGATGTCAAATATTTACTTTCACCTCTGAGTTCTATCAAATCATTGATTTTTAAAACTAGTAAAATTTACTGTACTGAAAATTTCAAAAGAGCATTGGTTGACAAACACTGAAACGTCTATGTATGCTTTTTGTTTGCATTCCTCCTAAACAATACCGTTAGATGAATACATACCTCTTTTTAAAAGAAATCATGTGGACAATACTATTTATAATGGTAATATAAATCAGCAAAAAAGGCATCAACACACCCACGCAGTATTACAGATTTTCAAATCCTTTAGCTTCACATTACACACAGCATTTAGATGATTAGTTTTATTGCTTCCTTCTTTCATTAAATGGTTAAAATAATCATTAATATTTGAAACAAGACTTCAAAATGTACTTTGCGACAAGTTCAGTCTCCATTTGCCCATTAACAGAATGGAGGCTTATTCGGGAAAATTAAAATTTCATTTCATTACCTTTTCAGTCTCCAAAAATTTGTTTTCAAAAATGAACAAGATGCAGTTTCTAACAACTTCCAGCCTTTGTGCACTGTTGAAAATTGTGCTTCCTTTTTCCATTATGGAAACTAACAAAGAAAAAGAAGAATATACATCTGTGAAACGTCTTCTGCAAGAGTCACAAAGAACACCAGAAAGTTCTTTTTAAAAAAAATTGAAGAATGTAACGTGCCTTCCATTTTGTTCTGTTAAGCAAATACCATTAGTAGGCATATACAGATGGGAACATAATATCCTAAATCTTTGGTTTTCCTATATTACCTTAAGAAAAAAAGTGCTCTGAATTTTAACTAGAGCAGTTGATTCTCTTTAATACTTGTTCCATTTGTGCCATATAGGCACAAAGAGATTCCAACCTCTAATATAATAATGAAATATCTAAATAAATAAAAATTAATAAAAAAAACCATATATGAGTGTGTGTTCTGCAGTGTACTATGCAACTTGCATATTTCCTAGCAGCAGATGACTATTTTTCCCTAGGAAATTAATGGGCCATGCCAAGAATTCTGTGACATGGAATAAAATCTGACAAACTTGTTCTCTTATCTAGATTCCAATTTGATCAGATCTAAAGATTATTTTCTTAATGCGGTGTTTAGCTCTGAATTTTCAAGAAAATTCAGAATGGAAGAACTAACATTCTCTTTTTCTCCTTGGTGTCAAGTAAACAGAATATAAATGCAGAATATGCCCTTCTTGAAGACAATAATGAGCTCCTAATATCCAGGGATTTTGACACACAGGACAGCAGGGAGTATGTGTGTGAAAGCTGTTCCTTGAAATAAAACCACAACAAAAAAACACAAACTTTGACATAAAAATCAATATTAAGAAAGAAAACGTTCTCTTGAATCTAGCCTTTAAAAAAAAGACAGCAGAACACATGCACATATCCTTTAAATTTCCTGTAAGTAACAGATTCAATGATAGAGTCAACAGCAAAGGCAGGTGAATAGAGTTTCTCCTCTTATTACATAAACTCAAAGAGAAACAGGCCTGGAAGGGGCCTCAAGAGGCCACCTAGTTCATCCTGCTGTCCCTAGACAGGATCAACAGTATTTATGTTATTTCTCATGTTTGTCTAATAAGTTCCCAATGTTCTGTGATAACAGACACTCCATGGCTTCATAAGAAATCCATTCAACTGCCTCACAGTCCCCATTTTACCAAGTTTTTTTCCTGACAAATAACTCTACTTTTATGCTGCAATTAAACCCATTATTTCTTATCACTAGAGATTATTCCCTTTCTTTTTTTAATGGCCTCTTATGAAACTGAAGACTGCTATTATGTGTTCCCTCAGTCTTCTGTTTTTCAGTCTAAACAACTCTCCATCTTTCCTTGTAGGTCACATTCTCCAGATCACTGGTCATTCTTGTTGCTTTCTTCTGGACTCTCTCCAACAGAACCAAAAACGGAGACAGTCTTCCAGTGTCCAAAAATGGATACAAACTATCCAGCTAAGGTCTTACTGAGTACAACGAAAAGATTTCTCCATGGGGTTCACTGACTGTACTCCTGTTTATACATCCTACTAAGATGTTTGTCTTTTTTGCAATAGCTTGATATAGTTGGGTCATGTTTGCCCTATGATCACTATAACCCCCAAATTAGTTTCTGAAGAACTGTTGCCTAATGAGCTGATCCTGCCTATGCAAGTGCAATACCTTATTTGAAGAAAAACATTAGAGAAGGATAACATTCAACAGAGACGAGATCTCTGATTTTTCAAGATTGACTTGAATTCTGATGCCATCCTTCAAAAGTTTTGCAAGCTCTGCCAGCTTCATGTGCTCTGCAAGTTTACTAAACACACTTGTTTACGCCATTATTCACACTGATGAATATGACTATGACTAAGAATTTTTCTAGCATTAAAATTAAACAGACAGGCCTACAATGTCTACATTTATATTGAAATACAGGTATATTTGAGACAGATGCTATGTTTGTTCCCTGCTTTTTTTCCAGTAATTTACATGCCTTCCACTAGTATCAAAGTTCAAAGCTTGGTTCAGCCAGTCCTACAAGCAACCTAATGATGATATTCATCAGACCTAGACAAGCAGACTATCTAATTTAATAGTTCAGTCTATCTCAGATCAAATCCTTTTTTGTTGTTAGTAATTATGCCACTCACACTCTGGATGTTTGGCTTCTTAGTAAGGGCTGATGCAAAAGGGCTTTTAAAATTGCAAAGGCAAACACACAAGTCTATGTACTAAAGGTTACTATGTTCACTAAAAATACCGTATTAATATGAAACTGGGAGCAACCATTGCAGCCATGCTAGTTATACATTCAACTCATGAGACATGAAGGCAAACAGGTAAGTCAGAGAACAAGTACACATACCAACAGGGGGACCGGCTGGAACAACGCACTTCTTGTCCCCCCGGGTGGCAGGGGGGGCACCCTGGCTCCTTGAGAGGCCTTCCTGGAGGAGCTCCTGCACCCGGCACTCATTGATTCGAGGGAAAGGGAGGATGTGAACCCGCAAGTGGGAGCCCTCCGTGGGCCGTGGCACTTTCTGGAATGCTATGTGGGGATTTGGGTTCTCCTGCAGGTCAAAGGAAAAAACACACAAACATATTACATAGTGTTACCATCTGTCTCATCCAATTGTATTGCTGTTTTGTGTATCTGCCATACATGACAGATTAAGAAGCCAAGTATCTAATGCAGCTGATTAATAACGTTTCCTATTTGTATCACTCTTGATTCATTATCTGTAATACTTCCAACTTTGTTAAAGGTTTTTATAACATTATTTTTGTCAACACGCAAAATTCAAAAATAAAATAAAAAAAAAATCACCGTTTAACTTAGTTTGATTTTATGCAGTGAATATTGAGGACTTGAATAGAAATGAGTTTGACAAGCTCTTCAGTAGAAAGAGGGTTGAAGAATATTAAAACATACAATCTCGTCACTGACTACTGAGAAATACTCTCATCTTGATCAAGACTACAAAGTGAAAATTCACTTTTCCACCATGTTGTATCAAATTATGGCCACCCCTCATAAGGGACCAATTTTTTATCTTTTGTATGTCCCACAAAAACATGTCACACAGCTAACTGTTTGCACTAAAAAAAAATGAAAAAAGTTAATACTGCTGATCAAAGAGAATATATGATGAGCCTAAACTACAAAGGAAGTAAAAAGAAGCTGTCACATCAGATTTTCTAGTGTTCTCAAAGGATAGAAAACATTTCTATTGTTTCAGAACTATCTGAATATCCACTGTGAAAATAAATGTTTGCCTACAATGGTTTTTCACTCACTCTTCTATGGTCTTTGTTTTCTTTTTCTTTAAAAGCAAATGTAATAAGCAGCCCTCAAAAAGGCTTATTCACAATTTAAAAAAATTTTAAAATTCAGTTTCACATTGCAGAACGCTGACTTACTTGTTTTGCCAAAATAATTGTTGTAATTACTAATTGCAATTACTACGTAATTATTATATGTCTTGATCTTGACATTATCACACAATACTGTAATGCTGCAGACATTAGCAAAATATACCCCGTGTCATAAAACAGAGATGACTGTATATGGGATATTTGAAGACTTGCTCTATGCAGGTAAACTCTGTTGGTGTTCGCCAATACCAGACGCAGTATCAGTGCAATATGCGTTCCTACATGCGGACATGCATCTTCTGCCTCTGCTGTTCAGCAATCAGAAGGACCATGTACATCACAAACCACTAAGTTTCACCCAACGGCCTCCACATTCATTTCAGCTTGTTTAAAACACACTTTACACAAAGACATCCTGAAGAGAAAAAGATACGAAAATTCACCATTCCTTTTAATTTTTTTCTTCAAATGTTTGATAACTTTTCCTATTTTTTTTTTCTGGCTTCAGGTTGAACCTTCTACAAAACAGAGTCAAGATCTACATGTTCCACAAGGATTCTACCACATCTCAGGTCTTGAAGATCACATCTCACATCTTGAGGAGTGTAACGATCAAACAAACAAACAAGGATATTTTCATTTCTTCATTCATATACCAGGGGTTATCATTAATCATGTTTTAATTCACTGTTTTCCAATTTGACTCGATGCTGTTACTTATTACTGGCTAAGTACCACTGCCAAAGAGTGCTACTCAGTCAATTAGGTTTCTGTTGTACAAGCACAACTAGTTTGCAATAAAACTTGTAAACAGGAGCTAGCTTGATACTTTCGTTTACAGGAGCAAAAGAAAACACGGAGATCAAATGCATCAACTTGAGAAATAGCAGTCAAAACAAACCAGCAACTTAGCCACACAAATTCTCTGCAGAGTAAAGTTTAGTGAAACAAGCCAAAAATCTAGCTAGGGGAATGAGAGGAGCAGATTCCAGGAGAAGCAAAGCAGAGAAAGGGAACACAATCTCAGCAGGGGCTATCAAATGACATAGAGCAGAAAAAGTCAGAAAGGGAGAATAACTACTCCACATTCCATTTCATGGAGAAGAGAGATCCAGAGAAAAGATACAGAAAGAGTTACTTTAATTTTGGCCATCACAGACCTATATCCCAGCTGTATATGCTATTAGGAAACGCAGGTCTTCGACTACTGAAGCAGTACATGCCAAAAGCTTGTCTAGATTTTCCACTTGTACCAGCTAGACTAATACAAATATTATCTCTCCCTAACAAACCTTGTTTCTCATAGATATCTAGACTGTCAAGAGCTACAGTATGATGACTATTTAAATTGTGGAACAAGATGTCAAAACATGTCATGCAGTGAGTTTACAATCAGGCAGCTCTAGGTATAACTTACAGAAGCAACGTTACTCATCACAGTACTTTATTCAAAGATACATAACTACTAAAAAATCTGACTTTTAAATACACTGAGTCATTGACTTAGTGGTAGTGAAGTAGCGGGTCAATTTCAATGGCATAAATAAATCTCATCGTAAGAAAACACTAAAACGAATTGGTTTTCACACCGATCTTAAGAAATAACATAAGTGAAAAGTTGCACATATGCACATGCGCTTATGCTTTATATGGTCTTTCATTCTAAAAGGATCTATATCCACTGGAAAACAAATATAAATGTTCACCATTTCCTTTGGAGCAATTTAGGATCATAATAACAATTATACTGTTCGCAGCACATTTATGGGATAGTACCACAATAATCATATGCTTATTACAGCCCTTGCTCTTGGGAAAATCAAAACTTTTAAAAGACAGATTGATTTCAAAGAAACTTTAGTGCAACACAAGAAGGACATGGAGCTGCTGGAGCAGGTCCAGAGGAGGACAACAAAGATGATCCGAGGGCTGGAGCACCTCTGCCATGAAGACAGGCTGAGACAGTTGGGGCTGTTCAGCCTGGAGAAGAGAAGGCTCCAGGGTGATCTTATAGCAGCCTTCCAGTACCTAAAAGGGGCCTACAGGAAGGCTGGAGAGGGACTTTTTAATGCCCTTTTCAAGGGCATGTAGTGATAGGACAAGGGGTAATGGATTTAAACTGAAAGAGGGCAAATTTAGTTCGGATATAAGAAAAAAAATTTTCACTCAGAGGGTGGTGAAGCACTGGAACAGGTTGCCCAGAGACACTGTAGATGCCCCATCTCTGGAAGTTTTCAAGGTCAGGTTGGATGAGGCTTTGGGCAACCTGGTGTAGTGGAGGGTTTCCCTGTCCATGGCAGGGGGGTTGGAACTAGATGATCTTTGAGTTCCCTTCCAAGCCAAACCATTCTATGATTCTATGAACACTGCTCATTTCTTCTGCTATATCTTCCCCAAATTTTATTTTGCTCATCTATGCCATCTGATGAAAATGAATCAGACTAGTTTACTTTAATATTGTCCATTGACTTTCTAACAAAACTAACAGTCCTGAATGTCTCAAAACTGTCAACCAATATACCTTCTGACAGTGTTAACCTGAAACACCGACATGAATTCGAAAAACACGCTTTGCTATATACAGCACCACTATTAAATTCATAGCAGAGAATTTAATACTTATTAAGAAGTTTTTTTTTCCCCAATAACTTAATTTTAGCTCATAAGAGAAGATGATTCCATCAATACTTATAATTAAGAGACTGCTATAGGATGAGGAGGTGTACCGTGGAATAAATAATTTTTTATTACGGAAGAAATCTCATGGATGAAATGAATCTGTGTAAGAAAAATTCTGATGCCTGATGTTTCTCTTCATTTTCCACAAGATGCATCTTCTTATCATAAGTCTGAAGTGTCAGTGTAAAGGTATCAGTGTTAAGATACTGAAATAAATATGCTACACCACACATGGAGAAGAGATAACATTCCATGTATGTTTTAAAATGTTAATTGGTTTTAGTCCACAGAGACATATTTGCTCTCTCTTCTAATGTCTTCTGTCAACAAGGCAGATTAAAATGTGTATCAATTCTTTCCTCCAAAAAAAGTATTATAGTCATTTGGCAAGAAAAGAGATGTATTTAGCATGGACAGGTTGTAGCAGAGAAAATAACAGTTTATATACATTATGTGAATACACACTAAGAAAATAGACTATTAAGTAGCTGTAGTTAATAGGTAAACCAATATTAGCATTAATAAATCAGTATTGCTATATTGAACTTCCCTCGTACGTACAAAAATTGGTGACATTTAAAGTTCTGAAGTCTTTTGTCATAATACAGATGACGACTACCACAAGCAGTCATTTCCAATTTCAGATACTGGATCAATCTCAGAAATACAAATTTTCAATGTACTATCTCAACTCTAAAAGCACAGCAGGTATAGTAAACTTACATTTTTGAAGAGTTGTTCTGCAAGTTCTCTAACATGCTTTATCATTTTTGGTGGATTACCTTCCTCAGCTTTAATTCTTTCTACTTCAAAGGCTACCAACTTTAAAAAGAAAAAAAAAAAAGAATAAAGAAAAAAAGAATACAAACGTTTATAATTCATCTAAAAATTATTTTTTTCCCATGTAAGTTATGAAAAGTTAATCTCAAATTGAAACTGAGCAAAAAAAAACCTGAACACTGAAAAATGTGCAATGTCACGTTGCTATGGGACATGAGACATTTTCACTTTATTATAGAGCTTCTGTTACCAGACTTTACAGTCCTACCTAACACAGAAAGTCCTACATACCTAAAACATTCCTTTAACATTTCCAATACCACAATCTGTATTTCTCATACATACTACTACTATGTAGAATTAATACCAAACTCTATTTGTACTCTACATTCAAATAAAAGCCAGCACAGTAAAAATATGGCATTACTTTTTAAAAGAAAAAATCTTTGTCCCAGTTTATATTGTTGGGTATGTATTTAATGTACTAGTTCTCAATTACTTTTTCAATGTTTCTAAGAATACAATTGAATTACTCAAAATAATTCTGTACTAGCACATGTGATGCATTATGAAGTTCCAAACCAGACCAATAGGAACCTCATCACCATGATTTATACAACTGTTTAACTTCATACATACAGCAGGGCATAATTTTATGGAAGTAAGCTAGAAATGTATGCTTAGTAGAAAATGAGAATTGAGAAGTTTATACTAAACTTTATATATTAAACAGTGAGGATGTAGAAGCAATTAAATACTTTTTCACACGCTGAAATATCTTAGGTATTTAATTTACTTGAGAATATAAAAACAGTCTTCACCTCATCAAAAAGATCACAGGCTCTGAAAGGAGGACCCCTTTCTGACACAAAACCAGCAAATGCCATTCCATTGAGAACTTTGGTTAGAAAGTCATTCTCAATTAAGCCTCGCTGCCCCAAGAAGGCTGTCTGCAATACAGATCGAAAAAAAATGGATGCATTTTATCAGTATCAAAACTACAACCAACCGTTTATGTACTAGGAGCTTAACATTTTCAACAGCTTATACTAATATATGATACTTTCTAATTAAATCTTTTATATTACCTAGTGTCTTTTTATACCTAAATTCAGAAGTGTGTAACAGGAAGCCTGATGCACACATTCTACAAATCTTACAGGTAATAAAATAGAAAACTAGTACTTTCAAGTATTTTCTTCTAATTACATATATGTTTTCAAAATTCTTTGATTACTCAATGTGTCTTTGTATTAAATTTCAATGTTAACTTTGTTTCACATTTCATCACTGTCCCTGCAATTAGTCCCACTAAAACGCACTGACACAGTGCTGTGTCAAAACGATATGCTTATCACATGTAGATTCTTTTATTTTATTTTTTTAAACCTTAACACTTTTTCAAAAGACACAAATGAATACTAACTAAATATACGTCACTGCTTCTCTTTTACCTTATGGAAATGAATTACTGGTTCAGCATGAATTCTGATTAGCTGAAGACACGACCGATATCCTTGAAAAAGCTGTGCAAATAGCCGAAGGAAGATTGCTCGCACTTCTTTATCCTGTAAGCAAGAATTGAAAATGCTGTCAAAACGTTTTTTGTATTCTAAACTTTTCCACACTTTGTATAAATCTATCTGAGAAACGCCTACAAATTCATCAAACAATGCAGCAGCGCGGCACAGAAGTGGAGATACTTGTGCACATGTAGAGTTATCTTATATGAGGCTACAGTTTGACCGACCTGTCTGCAAATAGCAATGACAGATTTAGTACACACTCACCCATTTTCTCCTACTTCTCTTTTCTATGCCTGCACAACAGACCCTGGGCAATTCAAGTGTAACTGTTGGAGTGGTCATGTGGTGAACCACGTGAAGGAACTGCCATGAGAGAAAAACAACGCTCAAAAGAAAGGGGGTATTTTAGCCTGGATTTATTCCCTAAAGTAAGTGTGGCTCTGCAGCACCACACAAGTAGTGCCATTGGAGTGGGCAGGGAACCACAGGAGCCCAAGCTGGCATTGCTGCTGCTGGGGGAACCAGGCTCAAAGTATCACAGGTATCACCATAGTCATCCACTGTGGCTCCGCCAGCTGAGCGGACTGTTCTAAGTTTGCCCAGCGACTTCTCTAGGATTTGAGTTCGCATCTTCACTTGCCAATCTACTGCAGCCAACATAAGCCAGGGTTAGTCTGAAAAGTTTTAAACAGTAGATCTTTAAAGTCCTGGTTTATTTTGGTTTAAATGAGCAAGGGAGTGCTTACATAAACATTGATGGGTTAATGGAAATGATGGGAACAGTTAGAGGCAGACCTGGGCAGTGACTGTGATCAAACCCTGTGTCACCCATGTTATTTTATCTTAGGTCAGGTACCTACTCAGACTGCAGCCATGTCTAAAACCTGAGGTCCGAAAAATCATTTTATGACCTCAGGTTTTACAGTATCTTAAAGGACTTTTTAAACAAACTCTAACTTTAAAAGTTACAAGCAGCAAAGAATATTATATTAACTAATCAGGTAAACATGATCAGCCAATCAGCAAGTAAATTAAAGAATATTATATTAACTAATCAGGTAAACAGATGATCAGCCAATCAGCAAGTAAATACCACCTAAATATATTAAAGCTTGTAATGATTTTTTACATAAATAAGCTTAGGTATATATAAGATTCTCTAAAGCTGTTCCTAGTGGAATATTTTTGTAGATGTCTGTTTATTCTTCACTGGCAGATGAGAGATATCATTTTATTTTTAACTCAATTTTGTAAGGGCTCACTTGGTACTGAGAGATAGTCTCAGCTTCTTTGTGTCCAGGCTACTCTCCACGATTTTAACAGGTACCTTTATACCCTGACTTTTTGGACTACTTGAAAACATGGTAGTTTCTTTCAGATTTATTGAAATTTGTATTTTGATACAAAATTACACTGATTTATAACTTCAATATTCAAAGTAAGATCTTCGCTGAATTCTGTTGCTAGTTTCAATGAAATATGAATGACATTTCCTGTCTTCAGCAATGAAAAAACTCCAATCTTAAAGCAAGAAATAACAACAAATATATTGTACCACTTACAAGTTTTACGTTTTCAAATACAGCTACACAAAAACCAATGTGCGTTCTTAAATCAAATTGGCTTTTGGATTTTAGTTTGGACTACCAACTCAAGTTCAATTCTGGATACTCCTACAAGCTAAAACGCGCAGCTTTACCAAGTAGTTAAAACGTTACCATGGTTTCACACTACTTTTAATCTAAATTAACCACATTTTAGTAGAAAGCTTTCTACAGGCTATTTTTACTATAGACATTACATATAGTTTCATTCAGGTTGAAAAGCCATTTAACCATATATGGTTAAAAACCATTCCCAGTATGTCCAAGTATACAATGTATAATAATTATCATTATTGTAAAACCACTGACTTATGTTTTGCTGACACAGCTATCACTCCTACCTTTATTCATATTTACTCTAAAAATCTACATCTTGAGTGACATCTTTAATGCATCTGAATTTTTTTTTTTTTTAGAGGGGTGTCTATAAGATATCTTAGTTTTTTGTTTTTATACAAACGCACAAAAAGACCCGTTTGTCCACTCATGTAAAATTCTGCAGCTTTACTGGTCTACGAATCAGAGGAGGCACAGATTTAACTCAACAGACAGCAACATTAAAAGAAAATAAGGTGCTTCCATATGAATGCAAATATGTTTATAAAACCTTATAAGCCATTAAAATGCTATTAGAGGACAGAATGCAAAGTCCAATGGCATTTCTTTGCTTCACCAACAATACTATAAAGAATATAGATATGAAAAAGAAAACACAAAGTAGAAATTCTTAGAGGAAAGTTAGTCTAAAATTTCAACAGTTTTCTACTTGAGAAAATCAGACATCACACGGAAATCTTACCAGCATTTTTGAGTGTGATAAAGCCGTTCGTGGGGGAGGGAATGCATAATCTGCTGTTTCCAAATCAGGATGCAAAACCTAGAAAATATTTTAAACAAAATTTTTTCCATACAATATAACAAGATAAATACTTTTTTTCTTCTTTCTCAAATTAATTTTTACTGATAGCTAAGTGTTTTAAATAATAGATTGAGTTAAGTAATGAAAACTGTATGGAAATAAAGGTGGGACTAATGTCTCAGCTTCAGGTTTCTGTAAGTGAGCTGGTTATCAAAAACTCCTATTACAGCCAAGGAAGCTAGTCAACACAGGGATTTTAGAGTTGATTCTTCTGAAACAGATTAACAGATATAAAATTCTTCTCTTTAAGATAAGAAGATTTGTTCAGAAGCCTCCAAATAAGGTGTTTTCTAACTTATGACAATGATAGTAAAAAGACAAACAGAACTAAGAACTACTTTTTTTGGTGATTCTCTAATGTAGAATTCTTCAATATTGATATAGAGGCATCATACAAATAAACTTTAAGACTAATCAGTTATTCACTTGTTTAACTTCAAGAATATCTACAGTTGAATTTATAAAAACAGAGAAGAAGCTAAACTGAATAGTAACAATGCTGCTCAAATACTGAGGTTGAACTCATTAAAAAAACATTATTAGCAAGGAAAAATCACTGCCTACCTCTTGACTAGTGAAAAAAGATTTCAGTAGTAAATTGCTGATGATATTAACTCTAACTTCTTCTAAAATATACTAAAGATATAAGATACTAAATTATTCTAAAAACAGAAATATTGGCATGAATCATAGTTTTAAATCTCACATTTCCAGTGTGTTTGAAAACTATTTAATACTGAAATTAATTTTTCATTCCTTAAAAATAAGTGAGAGGGTGGGAAACGGGGTTTATATCGAAACATACTAGAGAAAGCGCCATTTGAGTCTGATGTAGCAGTGGCTCTGGTAGCTGAGAAAGATGAATACATTCAGGAATTTTAATTGTACCTCCATCCAGGTCTGCTATGATTACATCTAACTGTAAGGGACAAACACATACATTATTGATCGTGCATACTTGTGAGCGCAGTTTAAAAACAGTTCAAATTTCATGATCTGCACATAAGCTAAAATAAACAAATTAAAACAGTACTAACTGTAATGCACAGAATGCTTTTGATAAAGGAAATACTTCAAATACTTCATATTACTGAATCCACCCATGAAAAATGAGCGTAAACAAAAGAAAGTGAAATTAGGCCAAACTTTCAAAAGCGACTTCTGTCTCTGGATGTTGCAGGTCTGTGTTTAGTGGTATCTGATAGGCTGTTTGCAAAAGGACAGTTAGCCCAACTCTAAGTAAAATTAGATGTTTCTAGGCACCTCTGTAAACCTAGTTCAGTTTCTTCAAGCACACGCTTAAAAACTAAGCATTAAAATAATATATTTGAAAATCCTACATACATTGTTCAAACTCATGAAAAATATAACAAAGCTGGAATGGGATTCTAGTACCTTCCCAACCGGTACTAGAATCAAATCACTTCTCTCCTCTACTTTATAGTCTCAATGTAATTACAAAACAATTTATGGTTTTTCTTTTTTCTTCTCCTGATTATCCTGTCTTGCTTTCTACAACAGTATTGAAAACATAAATGAATTGCTCGTGTAAACATCTCTGAAGCACAGAAAATCTCTGCAACTAACGATCACTAATGCCACCGTGACTATGAACACGCTGGGTAGGCATACTTACAAGCTCATGAATGTCATTGCGAAAGACAGAATGTACGCCAATTATGAAAGGTGTTGGTGAGCTGAGAACTTCCAATAGCTGTGCAGGAAGAATTGGAATATAGGGATAACTGTGAAAAGAATAGATTAAATAAAATAAAAGATTCTGACTATCCTTTCACGTAGGGCAGCTTTTTTCTTAAAAAGATATAATCTTCCTGTTATGTATTGAATTTACTATAAACACTTGAATTTTAAAAACACGTAAGATGAAAGTATTAATTAAATACTCCTTTATAAAGTGCCACGCTGTTAAAAGAACATCTGTCAAGTAACCTCCAGAAATTATTATCTTATAGTCTACAATTTATTGTAAACAAGTGTTTTCTGCAAAATAAGAGAAGTCTATTTATATTTGTAGTGTTTATGCTATATGGACATTATATTTGTCTGCAACTTTTAAGTAACTTGGGACACTAAAGTTATGGATAATAATTTTATTTTAAAAACATGGTTAGTTTTTGGTCAGACACCCCAAATGCAGCCTTTCCTGAAATATCATTAATAAGAAATCTTTAAATGAAATCTTTTGCTTTGATATTGAAATGACAATTAAACCTTACATATTGAACTCTGTACTTCATGTATTGTTTACTTGATTTGACAATTTATAAAAAAACGGACAAACCAACAGTGTTTTCATCAGAGCAACATGAAAATCTAGATCTAAATTGATCAATGCATTTGAACTGAATATTTTAAATAAATAGTGAATATGTTTCTGAAATATTTTAAATAAAAACATTCTATTAAAATATAACTATCTTGTAAAACAGATGTGTCAGAATTAGATGTCTTCTTCCTAAAAAAACCCAAATAGTTTGACATTAAGTTTTCCATTTCAAAACATTGGCTTCAGATGGGGATTTTTAGAGAGGGTCAATTTGTGGATTTAAATTCATTCTCTGTTGGACGTTTGTCAGTGACTTAAAACAGAGATACAAGCTAATGCAGATGTTATCTTAAAACCACAGAATCTTTCAGGTTGTAAAGGGCCTCAGGAGATCATTTAGTCCAATCTTCTGCTCAAAGCAGGGTCAAGACCAAATCGAGATCAAGTTGTACTGGGCTCTGTCCAGCTGGGTCCTGAAAACCCACAAGGATGGAAGTTTCATAGGCTCTCTGTTCCACTGCTTAGCTATCCTCATAATAAAACGTTTTCCCAGTATATAGTCAGCAACCTCCCTCTCCTCTGTTTCAGTTTATGACCTCAATCTCTGGTTCTCCTGTCATGCACCTCCTCTTACTTAATGGCAGGCAGTTTTACCAGCCAATTAACGTTGTAAGCAGGGTTTCTATTGTATTTGTGGGTAGGATGTTTCTCCTTTTAAGTGTTTCCACTGCCACAATGCAATCAGATTTTTATTAATGATGTGTACAGACCAGGACTTATATATATGATCGTGAAAACCTTTGCTTATTTGAACAAACATAGCACAACTCTTTTTGTTAAGGAAACTGTAACATAAGTTATAAAATGGGTTATAAAACTGGTCAAAGAATTCAAAGAATCAAAATGCAACTCACCTATATTTGAGGGGAAACATCAAAGACTCCAGAGCCCTACAGGCATCACTAAGCCTCTGAAAACTTGCAGAGTGAAAGAGAACCTTATTTTCTGTAAGCACAGCACAGAATAAGCTGAGTACATTTTGGATGCCTTAGGAGAAAAAAAAAAAAAAAGAACTGTAGCAACATGTCAAAAGAAGAATCAAAATAACATTAAAATGTACCATTTTCTGGAGGAATTTTCAAAAAGCATATTGATAAATGCATGAACTGCCAAATCTCAAGTTTTTCTACCTTTTTTTAAACTAGTGCAGCTTCCTTTTTTCCAAGTTGCTAAAATACTTTCTGAATGTATTTCTACATTTCAAATATACTGTATTTTATCTCCCTTTCAATACCACTTTCAAAGATTTCCTCTTCTCAGCACAGATCCCAGCAACGCTTAATAATGACTTCAAACAGTATTGTGTGTATCTTCTGTATAGACTTCTGTGTATCTAGAATTCAATTCTGGTCACTGATGCAGGCTTAAATTCTAAACCTCTGTCTGTCTCCATGGGGATAAGAAAGATAAAATCATATTGCCTAGCTCAAAAGAAAATGGCAAAGAATTCCTAGTAAATAAATTCATATTTTATCCATGGAAAGCATGGAATCACCAGCCTAAAAAAAGGCAGTAAGAGTGTACATGTCATTAGAAGGATATGTTAACGAAGAGCTGACTGTTTAAACAAGACCCACTAGATTCACTGTAAGAGTCATGAATCAGATTATAGGGTGGTTTTTTTTTTTAATAAAACAACGCAATTTACTTAGGAGACAAAGCCACGTGCTTTCAGGGAAAACCAAAAATACACTTCCTTTAAAACAAAGTCCCATCCTGAGAAGTAGACATGTCTGAGATATGTAAGATATGCTGAAATTTATGAAATTTCCTGAAATATGCTGGAATGTATGATGTCTCCCTGAGGGCATAACTTGTGTTATCAGTAACACAGCCTGTACTACCTTTACAAAACTCCTGCTTATCTTACAATGATCTTCCCAATGAGAAGTGTGACTACTGAGAGCTACTATATTCACATGATAATTAACACTTTGTTTGGCTTAAGAAATTTTTATTCATGTTTTGACAAATCTTTTTTTTCCATAACGTATGAAAATATTCTTCGCAGGAGTGGAGCTTCGTTCATAAATATAAAAGGACAAGGATTCAGAGAAGGCTGTTGAGAAAAAGATTTAATGATGAACAAGTCAAACAAGAACATAATAGCTCGTGCTTTCAAACTGCATTCTCCAAGAATCCTATGGACAAACTCATGAAATCAAAGGCAGAGTCTTAAGAGGACGCAAGGACAGAAGGCTTTGTTATACTGCTTAAGTGAGTTACTGTTGCAAATATCTGCTACTGTTTTCAGCGGCATAATAAAATACAATGTAAGGATAGTGTTGAAAAAAAAAATGAACTAGCTTCCCCATGCAAATGAAATAACACTCATCAGTGAATGGTTAGAAGGTAACTTGAAATAGTGTCCTTTCTTGTGTATGTATTTGAACATAAAGTTAGAAACTGCTGCCTGTTTAAAAAAAAAATCTCTGTAAGAAATTAAATACTTGAACTGCCCTTCTTATGCAAAACTGCTCTTGCTCCTTTCCCAGATTTAAAGTTTGTTTGGGAGTATACTTTTGTTTTAAACCAAGTTTTTGTTTTCAAGTTAAGTGGGCTTTTTTCACCATTTCATTCCACACCAAATGTCTTAAGACAGTTAGGAATACATTTTTTTTTTAACATCTGTCATTTTTTTCCTAGAATCAGATATAAAAATTTTCAAATAATCCTCTTTAAACCTGTAATGTTCTGGCAGGTGTTACTGAGGAGAATAATACCAAAAAAACTCACAAATATTCACAGCATTTTGTGCAATTAAATTATCTAAAGAAAATCCTCTTGCGATCAAAATATCTAGAACTAAAAATTACTGAAAGAGATGATTTTCTATTCTGCACATCTTAAAACTGCAAACTAGGCTGAGAGGTAACAGTTCTGAAATATTTTCTGGATGTTATTACTTTAAACTGTGTTTTACAAAGAATTAAAACATTACTGAAATTTTTCAATTGAAATCAAGCTCTGTAAAATAAATTGCCCTTTTTCTAGCTACATGATATTCTCTTGCTGTGGATTATGATGATTCAAGAGTCTAGAAGGAATACCTTAATTCTCATACCTTTAGAAGTCTTAAAACTTATCCAGTACCAACATTTTTCACCTGAAATATCTTCTGAATATAAGCTTCCTCATCAGACATCAAAACAATACAGAATTCTCAATAGTAGATAACTGAGCACTTAAAAATGCAAAAATTTGATTAATAAAATACATGAATGAAGTAGAAATCAAGATTTTGCTTATGTATAAGGAGGACACCTGCAAGTACTTCAAAGCATTTGAACTAAGAAAGATGTGCATAAACCAGTCCAACTTCCTAGTGCTGGTGTGTGTCTATGAATCCAAAACAATATGGTTACATTGATTTTTTTGTTCTATAAAACAATTGAGAACACATTGGCTGTAAAGCACAAGATGACACAGTCTCCTAGGGACTACTAAAATGATACACTACAGTACAGTTAATACAGGTAATTTTCATGCTCATTTATAGCATTAACCTGTATGTCTGCTGGATTTTTATGTTTACCATTTTAAGAAATGGATTTTGGTTAAGTGTCTTCAATTTACAAAAAACTTAGACGTCTACTCATTGCAAATTTTTTTTTCTTGCTGATTTTTCCTGATAGCTTCTTTAAAGAACCGAAGTTCATTCACTCTATGTTAGAAGACAGGTCAAAACTCAGCGCTGAAGTTCTACAGAAGTTCAACTTGTCTACCTAATATAGTATGTTCTTGATGTCACGGTTTAAGCCCAGCCGGCAACTAAGCACCACGTGACCACTTGCTCACTCCTCCGTTGCTGGGATGGGGAGGAGAAAATACAACAAAAGGCTCATGGGTCGAGACAAGAACAGGGAGGGACCACTCACCAATTATGGTCACAGGTCAAACAGACTTGACTTGGGGGAAAAAAAAAAATCAATTTAATTTGTTATCATTCGAATCAGGGTAAGATAATGAGAAATAAAACCAAATCTTAAAAACATCTTCTCGTCACCCCTCTCTTCTTTCCAGGTGTCAAAAAAGACTATCATCGTTTAGCCAAGCTGGCAACTAAGTACCACACAGCTGCTTGCTCACTCCTTCCATCCTAGTGGGATGCAGAGGAGAAAATATAACAAAACAGGCTCGAGAGTCAAGACAAGGACAGGGAGGGATCTCTTGAATTATGGTCATGGGCAAAACAGACCCAAATTGGGGAAAAATCAATTTAATTAGTTACTAATCACATCAGAGAGGATAATGAGAAACAAAGCCAGATCTTAAAAACTCCTTTTCCCCTCATCCCTCCCTTCCTCCTGCCTTTACCTCCTCCCTCAAAGCAGCGCAGGGGAAGAGGGAATGGGGGTTGCAGTCAGTTTGCTGCTCCACCATTAATTTCCAGCTACAGCATGGACTTTCCCACGAAGTCACAGTCTTCTTCAGGTGCAGCCATGGGCTCCAGCATGGACTGCTCCACTGTTAAGCTCCAGCTCCAGCGTGGGCTTCCCACAGAGATGCAGCCTTCTTCGAGCGCAGCCACACAAACGCGACACACCGAGCTCAACTTTGCTCACAAGTTCTCCATCTCCTTCCCCTCAGCGGCACAAGGGAACGGTGAATGGGAGTTGTGGAGTTTGTCACACGTTGTTTCTGCCGCTCCTTCCTCTTCATGGGGAGGACTCCTCACACTCTTCCCCTGCTCCAGTGTGGGGGCACTCCCCTGGCAGACAGTCTTCCACAAAATTCTCCGATGTGAGTCCTTCCCATGGGCTGCAGATCTTCACAAACCGCTCCAGTGTGAGTCTCTCCCATGGGGTGCAGTCCAACAGACTGCTCCAGAGCGGGCTTCCCACAGAGTCACAGCCTTCTTTAGGTGCAGCCACCTGCTCTGGCATGAGGTTCTCCACAGGCTGCAGGTGGATCTCTGCTCTACTGTTAATCTCCATGCACTTCAGCTGGACAGCCTGCTGTCTCACCACAGGCTGCAGGGCAATCTCTGCTGCAGTACACCTCCTCCTTTGCTGATCTTAGTGTCTGCATAGTTTTTTCTCTCAAATCCTACTCTTCTCTCCCCTCCGCTGTCCCAGGCCCAACGAACCCTGGCGGGACAAGCTCCATCCAGCAGGTGCTCCATGAATGGAGAATGTCAGAGCAATCCCCAAGTCCTGATTTAGGGGAAATGAAGGCCCTTGGCCAACACTGCTGGGCTACAGGAAACCGCTACCCAGCCCGGGGCTGCCTACGAGGCACCACCACCGCTTTGCTGTGGTGCCACCCAGCAAGGGGCAGCGGCTCAGCGCAGACAGCTGCCTGCATGGGAGGCTGGGGCTGAGACCCGTGCCTCTCCCCTCTCTCTGCTGCAGGTTCCCCCAGCAGTTTTTTTCTTCTCTTCTTAAATAGTTATCATAGAGGTGCTAGTGCCATCACTGACTGGCTCAGCATTTGCCAGAGATGGGCCTGACTCCAAGCCAGGGAAGCTTCTAGCAGCTTCTCACAGGAGCCACCCTTGTAAGCCCCTCCCCTGCTACAAAAACACCACCACACATACTCAATACACTTGGTAACCAGAAAAATAAGGTCTTAATTTCTATAAAACTCAGGAGCAAAAAAAAAAAAAAAAAAAAAAAAAGTACAAGAACAACATGTTTGTCACCTGAACTCAACTACAGTAAGCCTGGAGTTTTCACTGTCTACTCTCCTCCTAAGGTTTTAGTGGAGGACAAAGGGACAACACTCAATAGCCAACATGTACTGGAATAAAATGAAAGAAAAAAAAAAAAAAGTAGTAAACTAATGATTTTTTTTAAATTTTAACTATTAAGCACTGATGATGCAGTTTTTCAGGCCTTCATAGCTTCACTAGGGAAATTAGTCTGTTTTTGCTGCATATTAGTGACCACAGATAAAGCTTCAGTTTGTACTCCATGAAGGCATTTCTCATTGTAGTTTCAACAGCAACAATATAATTTTATATTTAAGATGACAATTTCAGCAAC